ACCCCCAGCCCCGGACATCCCCAGACCCGGGACACCTGCAGCCCGGGACACCCCCAGACCCTGTCACCCCCAGTCCTGGGTCATCCCCAGACCCAGACACCCCCAGACCCTGTCACCCCCAGCCCGGGACACCCCCAGTCCCAGTTGCCTTGCTGACCCCGGCAGTGTCCCCAGCCCCACTTGCATCCCCAGCCCCGGTGGTGTCACCAGTGTCGGTCCCATTGCCACCCCAGCTGTGTCCCCAGCCCCGGTGGTGTCTCTAGTCCCAGTCACATCTCCAGCCCCCGCTGTGTCACCAGCCCTGGCAGCATCACCTGCCCCAGTTGCATCTCCAAGCCCAGCTGCGTCGGCATCGTAGTCCTATCATCTATCCCAGTCCCACCACCTGTCCCAGTCCCACCACCTGTCCCAGTCCCATCACCTGCTCCACTCCCACCACCTGTCCCAGTCCCACCACCTGTCCCAGTCCCACCACCTGCCCCAGTCCCATCACCTGCCCCACTCCCACCACCTGCCCCAGTCCCATCCCCTGCTCCACTCCCACCACCAGCCCCAGTCCCACCACCAGTCCTAGCCATGTCACCACCCCAGTCACATTGTCACTCTGGTCACTTGGCCATCCCCAGCCATGTCCCCAAGCCCCGAGCTCGTGGCTCTTCCCAAGCCCCGTTCCCGGGATGCCAGCAGGCCCGGGGACCTGGGCTCTGCCACCCTCCCCACCAGGACAGGGCCACCTCAGAAGCAAAGTGTTTATTACTTGATACATCTGCTGCTGTCAAGCTGCTGTTGCCTGGGAAGCCTGGCTGCCTCACCCCTGCTGTGCCACCCCCGTGCCACCCCCGTGTCACCTCCGTGTCACCCCTGTGTCACCCCTGTGTCCCCGCAGGCCACAGCCCCGCTCCCATCACAGGAGATGCCCTCCTGCTGCAGAGGCTGCAGCACCACAGGCTCCATGGCCCCTGAAGGGCCAAACTTAATTGGTGAGTGGGATGTTAATGAGCTGGCAGCGCGGTTAATTGCCCCCCTCCTCCCCCCGTGGGTGGGCAGTGAGAAGCCTCTGAAGTGTAATGAATTGCTGCTCCTCAAGGAGGAACCCGTGGAGGTGGAGGTGGGTGCCAGCCCATCCACCTGAGCTGGTGGTCTCGCTTCTTTGCCTTCCAAACTCATCTCCTGAGTCCTTTGCTCCCCTGCGTGGCAGCTCGCGGTGGCCGCCAGCGTGGAGGGGAGCTGGTCCTCATTCCTTCTCGTTCTTTTTGGGCTCCTTGAGGACCTTCTGTCCAGCTAGGATCTTCCCTAACTTCCCCGTCTCCAGGCTGGATCTCCCCTGCCCCGGCTCCTCCGGCTCCTGCGGGCTCCCCAGCAGGATTTCATTGATGGCGCTGAGGGTCAGGTTGCTGAAGACCATGTTCAGGTGGTCGATGCCCCGCAGCTCCTGGACGTGCACCCTGTGCTTCTGCTGGCCACGCCACCGCTTGCACAGCTCCAGGCTGCGCGTGTTCACCGAGTCGTCCCCGTCCCCGTACACCATGTCCACGGGGTCCTCGTATGGGAAGTGCTCGTCGTATATGTAAGTCTCCACGGTGGGGTGGCCGGTGCCATAGAGGCAGTACGTGTCCACCCCGGGAGGAGGCAGGTCCTTCAGCAGGTCCTTCATGTCCTCCCACATGTACCAGCCGTCCTCCAGGTTGACGGCGGTGAAGAAGCGTTTGTAGTCCCGGTAGGTGTAGTTGTAAGAGGGGGTGGAGATGAAAACGTGGGTCTCGGGCCAGGCCAGGCTCGTTGGGAACATCCAGGGGCTGGTGGTGGTCATGCGCTGCTCCTCACGCAGCTTGATGTTGGACATGAGCGGGATGCCGTGGTTGTCACCTGCAGGGGACATGGGGGCTCGTCACAAGCAGCACCTACGGGTACCCCGGGAAAGGGTACAGCCCCTTGGGTGGCTGTGCTGGGCTCAGCCCATCCAGCAGTGACCCACAGCTAACTGGGGTGTGGTTCCACGTCAGATCTTCCCCTCCTTAGCCCTGCCCAGCACCATACCTCCTCACCCCTCTTGTTGCAGATACCCAGAGCAACCTTCCAAACTCTTCTCTCCACCATAACATAGAATCACAGACTGATTTGGGTTGGGAGGGACCTCAAAGATCATCCAGTCCCACCCCCTGCATGGGCAGGGTCACCTCCCACCAGCCCAGGTTGCTCCAAGCCCCATCCAACCTGCCCTTCAACACTGCCAGGGATGGGGCAGCCACAGCTTCCCTGGGCAACCTGGGCCAGGCTCTCACCACCCTCACACCAAACAGTTTCCTCCTCATGTCTAATTTTCCTCTGCCCCCAAGAATAGAGGGGTTCTCCATCTGCCAGGAGGGGCTGAGTGTGTAGAAACATGGACCTGTGATGGCTCTGACCAAACCAACCCTGGACTTGCCCTGCAACCCCAGCACCTCCACACCAGCCTGCAGGGACAGGAGCCTGATGATGGTGCTGATAATGGGTGGCCAACCTACGTGCATCCTGCAAGCCTGGGTGGTTTTGGTGTGTCTGGGGCCCTTGACCATGCAATGATCTCTGATAACCTTAAAAATGTCTCTGGCCCTTGGGGCAACCAAGAAAAAACTATGAGGAGATGACTGAAGGGTGATGCAAGGGGCCAGATGTTCAAACCCTGAAGCACATGATTTTGATTCCATGTGGTTTTGGAGGCTCAGCTTGTGACTTGTAGATATTCTGGGCTGTCAGCATTGGGCAAAAGCCTGTGGCCTTCTGGGCTGAGAAGAGACTAAAGAGGAACTGGGGGAAGGGAGGCTGAAGCCTGGAGGCAGCCAAGCTTATGGGTGATGGGCTTGGAGATGTGGGGAGGTCCAAGCAAGCGGTGCAGGGAGGTGTGGGTGGCCCTTGGGTAGTGCCTCAGCTGTAAAACGGCTGTGTGGTTTGGTGTGAAGGTCCAGAAACCTTCATGGCTGGAGGTGGTGCAGGTGCCTGGGGAGGTGGTGAGAAGGGGGTGAGCATGTCCCAAAGTCCTTCCCTAGCCCTGAGACTTTTGGCTGAGCCCTTTTCTTGGCCAGGATGGGTGGTTTTCTGGCTGTGAAGGAGCAACCCCAGCCCAGGAGCTGACCCTGGGTGGGGTGTCCTGCAGGCTGTCTGCTGAGAGCCCGTGTGGAGGCAGGGGGATGGCCAGGCTGCAGGTGGACCTTTCTGGCAGTGGGTTTCCATACACACCAACCCCCCAGCCCCAGTCGTGGACACTAGAGCAACCTCCAGGTCATGCCCTGAGAACTTCCATAGTGCTTGTCAGCACCTCAGGGAGCAGTGGCATCAACACCAGAGCACCAGCACTGCCTCCAGAGACCCCCAGGCCATCTGCCCCCCACCTTTTCTCCTCCCTGCCCCACCACCACCACCCTTCCACTTCTGCAAGAGAGCAAGGAAGCAAAGGGGTGGCTGCACACCAGGAGTCACCCACCAGATGCCAGGATACGCAGGGGCTTGACAGACCCTCCCCAGGGGGCACCCAGGGAGATGAAGCCCCCAATGTACTGGTCTTTCCAGGCTTGTGTCTGCTGCAGCAAGAAGTAGAGGACGTTGAGGTTGCCCATGCTGTGGGCAATGAGGAACACGGGGCGCTGGTACTCGTCGTGCATCTCCTCGATCAGGGCCTTCAGCTTCTGGAAGTATTCGGGCTGCTCCTCTGGGGACAAGAGGGGCACCAGCTCTTGGTCACCTCACCCATGGCCACAGGGCTCCAGGGATGACCCTAAGAGCCCCGACCAGAGAGAGGTGTGGGTGCAGAGGCCACAAGTGCCAGCCACGCGTTGATGTGAGAGCACCATGGATGGCCCAGTGCCCACCCCCGTGGGCACTCATCCGTGGCCCAGAGGTTCCTCCACACCAGGTGCCTCACCCAGCCCCTGAGAACCATCCTGCTCCCCTCCCTGCTTGGGTGGCCTGGCCACAGACTTACGGGGCCCGACCCTCCAGTCATAGGGGGCTGCCCGGACCGTCTTGTCCCTCACGTAGCCATTGTTCACCAGGTTCTGCACCAGGGTGTGCATGTAGCCTGGGGGCAGAGAGAATGGGGGTGAATTAGGGCCTGTGCTCTTCTCCTCTCCATCTTTTTTCCATCCTGGTCCTGGCCATGGCCACAATGTCCTTGGTGGCTCAGCCAGAGGACATTGTGGCTCTGGGCATCAAGGCTGGGCTGGTCCCAGGTGGCACTTGAAGGGACTGTGTCCCCAGGGCCAACGTCCATCAGTCCCAGGTGACCTGGGCTCTCTGAAGAACCAGTCCCCAGGGGAGACACGGGGACATGAGGGAGGACATGGGGTCCCTGGACACCCCACACCTCTCCTGCTCTTACCTGCCAGCTTGCTCTGGTCCAGATATTCCACGGAATAGGTCTTCCCGAAGCCGGGCACGCGGATGTGCACGCCCGGGGCGTTGGACATCTTCCGGGAGGTCCTGTTGTACACCACCCTGTGGGGACAGGCTGGGCAGTGGGAGAAGGACCACGTCCCCGAGAAGAACCACCAACCTGGCCCTTGGTGGCTGCTTCTGAAGCTGGTGCAGATGGGGGGCTGAGCTGGTGCCCAAGCTGGGGTCCCTGCTGACCACCCAGCACCTCGGGGTAGGAAGCTGTGACTGCCCTGGTCCTGCTGCCCCGGGCAGGGTGGTGGCATCTCCAGTAGGTGCTGAGGATGGTTGGGGTGGCAGCCTGGCCCTTGGTGGCTGTTTCCAAGGTTGGTGCAGATGGGGGGGAGTGAACTGGTGCCCAAGCTGGGGTCCCCACCCAGCACCTCGGGGTGGGAAGCTGTGACTGCCCTGGTCCTGCTGCCCCGGGCAAGGTGGTGGCATCTCCAGTAGGTGCTGAGGGTGGCCTGGTTGGCACAAGCACTTGGCAGGGACACGGGAAAGGGGCAGGCACTGGGAACAGAAGGCAGCCAACTGTGTTCCCAAACAGTCCCGTGACGCTCCTGTGGTTTTCCATGTGTGCCAGGTGGTGGCCAGGGGGGGGGGGAGGAGAAGGGAGGGACATCCCTGGTAGGTCATTTACCCGGGAGCTCCCGGGGCGGGGACGAGCGGTACCTGGTGTTATCGATCCAGCAGTCGACTCCCACGGGCAGGAAGGTGTTGAGGTTGAGCCAGATGGTGAAATAATCCTCTGTCTTGCGGTAGCACATCCAGTTCACCACGTCCGGCTTGTCCAGCTTTGCTTCCAGCTGGTTCCCGAGGCACCCGGGCACTGGTGGCACGGAGAGGGACAGCAGAGGGGCAGCTACGGACCCGTCCCGCCCGGCACCCCACCCTGCTCCCTGCAGGAGTGAGGGTGCTCCGAGCTGGGGTGAGGGGGAAGGTGGCACTGCCAGCCCCTCCTGGGTCACCCCTGAGCTGCCCTTCCCATGGGGTGACTCGCCCAAGCTGCCGCCACAGAATCATGGACTTGGATTGGTCGGAACAGACCTTTAAGATCATTGAGTCCAACCTTTCCGGCAGCCCTGCCAAGGCCACCACTGCCCCGTGTCCCTCAGTTCCACATCTACAGGGCTTGGAAACCCCTCCAGGGATGGGGTCTCCACTCTGGGCAGCCTGGGCCAGGGCCTGACAGCCCTTTCCAGGGAGAAATTGTTCCCAAGATCCAACCTAAACCTCCCCTGGGCAACTTGAAGCCATTTCCTCTTGCCCTATCACACATCACTTGGGAGAAGACACCAACTCCCTCCTCACTCCAACCTCTTGTCAGGCAGTTGAAGCCCCAGACCTGCCAACCCCACCAGCATGAAGCATCCCACAGGATTCCCCACTGCCTGCCTGGGTTTCCAGCTTCCTCTTTGCTGCATCCCAAGGGATGAAGGGGGTGGTGCCCAGGGCTGCCCAGTCCCACCAGCTAGGGAATACACAGAGTCCCTGGGGAGCTGAAAATCACCCTGGTGCTGGCACCCAAAGCCCACACACTGTTTTCCTGACCTTTAAACCCTCCCTCCAGGCTGAGCAAGGTCTCTGGGGTGAGCAGAACCATGTCCCATGGGAATTCCATGCCAACAGCAGGCATAGGAAACACAGCGTGGTTTTAAAGAACGTTCATGGGCTGCCACGTGCAACCTGGGCTCCCTGGGGGAAGGGTGACCATCACCGTGGTGCCTGGGCTGCCTCTGGGGTTCCTGGCAAGGATGGGACTCCCCACCCCGTGCCCCCCTGGCCCGTGTCCCTGTGCCACGGGGACTATTCCCAGCTGCTGTGCAGAAGCTGAGGGCTGGCTCCAGGGGGAGGACAAGAGGTGCTGGGCCTGCAGGGGACAGTGGCTGTGGTGGGATGGGACCACTGAGTGATGAATCCCACAGCCACAGTGGTCCTGGACTGGGGACAGTGTGGACCTTCTGCAGGCACTGACAGCTCCATGTCCCACATAAGGAGCTTCCCTCAAGGACCCCCAAGGAGAAGCTCTGTGGTCTGAGGTCCCTCTAGATGCTGGGCTGTGCTGTGGCAGAGGCTGCAGCCTCCAAAAGCCTCATCCCAGGCAAGAGGAGATGAGGAGCTGGTGTTCGACTCCCTCAACCTAATCCACGGCTCCCTCACCTTTGCAGCATCTCCCCAGGGACACAGGGAGGGTCACAGAACCACAGAGTGGCTGGGGCTGGAAGGGACCTCTGGAAATCATCTAGTCCCACCCCCCTGCAAGAGCAGGATCCCCTAGAGCAGGGTCTAATCCTGCCTTCCAAGCACCTGCTTGGGGATCAGGCTACCCAAGTGGACCTCAGGGTAGGAGAGCCCAGGCAGGGAGGACCTTCCCAGCCAGCAAATAAGAGCAGGACCAGGAGCTGCTCTGCTGGCACCTGAGGATGCAGAACCAGCACCCCTGCCCCCGGGACGCAGCCCTGAGCTCTGCCCCCCCTTCCAGGGAACATTAGGTAATTATTAAGGGAGTTCCTGTGGGGGCAGAGGGGTTATCGGCGGTCCCAAGGGCACTGGGGGTTCTGGGACACCCGGCCCAGGGGGATGGGCTCCCTGAGGATGCCGAGAGGCACGTGGAGCTGGGGGACCCGGCTGGGTGCAGGGACAGGGGCTGGGGGCACGGGGAGATGCTCTGACCCTCACAAACCAGCCTGAGAAGAGGCACCTGGTGATGGCCACCTGGTGATGGCCACTGGGTCTCCTGGCCACCAGCAGCACCTCTCCCAGGGCACCGAGGCTCCAGACGCCGTCCCCTCGGATGGGAAGGGAGTCTGTGGCTCAGCCCTGGGCATTGCAACAGGGACCTTCTGCTTTTTCTCTTCTCTTTTTGGAGGGGAAACTCAGATAAAGGAGAAAAACCCCAATTCTGCTCAGCAGAATCACAGCAAGACCCCAGCTCGGGTCCCTGGTGGTGGCAGGGGGACAAGGGACAGCAGAGCCGTGCAGGATGAGGTACCACCTGCTCCCACACCCCCAAGGGGATGCCCCAACTTCTCCTTTCCCCCCCCCCCCCAGCACCTCCTGCTCTCTTCTACACCAGCCTGGGCAGGGTGGGCATGGGGTGGGATGTGGGATCATGCAGCCACAGAGGATGACCTCCCTGTAGAATCACAGCATCATGGATCATGGAAGGGTTTGGGTTGGAAGGGACCTTAAAGACCATCTAGATCCAACCCCCCTGCATGGGCAGGGACACCTCCCACCAGCCCAGGTTGCTCCAAGCCCCATCCAACCTGCCCTTCAACACTGCCAGG